TAGAAAACAATGACTGCCAGTACAAAAAATTATTACAATATTACAAAGCGTGTCATCAAATTTATCATCGATTCCTACTTCCATAGGTTGAATATCCTCATTTTGGCTTGGTTCCTACCAATTTAAGTTAATGAGTTTGAGAGTTTGTTATGGCGGTCAAGTAGATGAAGTTAATGTTCTTCAAGAATCATTTTCTAATTTTTGAAAAAGTATAATAAACTGGAGGACCAAAAGGCAGCCCCGAAGTATGTTCGCGATTTCGCCTGAAGAGTGCTGAAAGAGTGTCAATAAACCGTGCTGATCTAGGTGCTTTCAACAGGAACCCGCGGTAGTGGTTATACCTGCCATCTTTATTTGTTTGCAAATTCGTATCTTCTGCATTGGTATCAATTCCTTAGCTCTGTCTTTGAATGTAAATCTAGGATCAGGTTTTTCTGCCAAAGCGTATTCTATTATTCTTTCAAAGGTCTCCCTTTTAGGGGGTCATAAAAGCTCTCGGTTTCTACTAGCATCCAGTGAAGAGAATAACTAATCAAATTGGTTAACCATTGAAAAACAGGGGATTGTCAGGTGACTTACTCGTAAGAAGAGTTCCTGGAAAGGCGAGCTACGGATTTCTTAGATGGTCTGGGAAGTTTCAGCATTGAAATCTATCATTTTTATAAAACAAGCACTCTCACCCAGTATATGGATAAGCGCAGCTGAAGGGAAGCAAAAAATGGATTGCTGCTTCCTTCTGTCCATGAAGAACCTTATGAGGGTGATTACATAAACAAATTTTTTTGATTTAAATTAACCTCGGTTTGAGCAATTGGCATTTGTTTTTGCGGAAGCCACATTTTGTGTGAATCATTATCAGAGAAGTGAATTTTCTCCTCATACTAGCTATCATATAACGTCTTGCAAATCGTCTGTTTTTAATAAAATCATCTCAAACTGACGTCAAAGCTTATGCCGAAATGTGTTTAGCACATTAATAATGTAGACGAGTTGGCACCCCACTTGTTTGATGTTATTCCCTCACCAAAATTATTCATTTATACTGCTTCATTGCAAAATGCGAGAAATTTTTGTTTGGCGTCCTTGTAATGAGAACCTTTATATCGGTTTACTCATTAGATTTCAATACGCACTAATTTTCACATTTTTAACAATAATACCTGTTCAATTTTATTGCTTTAAATAGTTGTATAGAAAATAAAAAAAATCTTAAACACAGTCGTTTTAGTAACCAATTCCCAATATCTTTGCATCGTCGAATAATTTATTTTAGACTTTATCTCAGGCACTCTGCTGAAAAAGCTTAGAAGGAGAAATTTGTGCCTATTCTAACTAATTAAGAAGGATTGAAAGACCTTTTTGAGCCCCATCTTGATGTAGAAATAAAATGTGTGAATTCTTATTTAATTTGATCCAAAAAACACTTTACAGCCTTCTTCCAGTCATTGTTGACGGTATCTTGATAAACAACATTTTATTTCCTTGATTAATCGCAAAGTTCTGTCGAACTATGTGGTTTAGAGGCAACTACATAAGAAATAGCATGCTCCCTTGGTCTATGCTGAATGAAGTCTGGTGTGAGGTGCGCGACAGACTTACCTCCACGTGATGCACTCTAAGCGACGCATGCTCATATGGCAAAATAGTCTATTAATCGGCAGGTGACTTCTGACTTTCAACTACCATGACCCCACTGTACATCATATTCGACCCCTTCCACAGTATTCAGCTTACCTTTTCTATGCCTTTGTGTCTGTCTGTCTCCTACACATCTGTTAATCATTATGCTGTCCCTTCTCACAACTTTTTGTCACTTTGCTAGTCCTCGTTCTCTCTGTGAAGCACGTAGTCACCTAAAGGGCTGATGATATCTATCGAAACGCCTGTCATTTGAGATAAATAATATCTGGTGTGAACTTGCCACATAAAGCTTACATAGGTTAAATTGGAGGAAGCGAAGTGTTGAAATTTATTGAGAATAAGCGATACAGTGGTCCATGCCAGTGGATAGGCGTTAAGCGAACAGCCAGATGGGTATTTATAAAGAGATTTCCATGGATTGGTGGGATCGAAGGAGTGGTGGATACTAGAAGATGAGGTCAAATACTTTTACCACTCGGTTTCAAGTAGATATTTGCTGCTAATTGAGCTTCCAATCAGATGCTCTGAATCAGTTAGAGTTTATTTGGCACGGGAAGTGTTTTCTTTACTTCAGAAAACAAATAATCGCTTGGCAACAGTACCTATGGTCAAATTATGGCCAAAGAGGAATTGGAATGTGTGGATCGGGGACCAAAAAGCAAGTGAAAACGAATAAAAAATCGTAAATATAAGGCATTTTAACTTCGAGAAGATCGCAGTTGAATAAATCCTCATAATAGATTCAGTTTGTGAGGCAATACTGAAATGGTCATTTGCATTTCCAATCATTGAGTTGTCCCAGTTCAACGGTTGTTTGTTTTCAAATTATCACTTATTTCAAATTAATTTGCCCATTTAGTCTAAATTGATGAGGGGATAGATGATAACGGTGACACACAAGAAGTCCGTTGTCTTCTAATAACTTGAGCAGATCATTCGTCTGTGTTTAGAATTAATTACTAGATCTGCTGCCATTTAAATACCAATTTGAGATTATTTATCATATAAAAGTGCTTAAAAATACATGAATGCAAATTTATAAGCGCACTTTTAAGATGAAAATACTGCCAACTATTATAAAGCGCTTGTAGATTTTGATCTACTGTTTTTACCTAAATCAACTTTACCAATTGAATATTGTAGATTTAGTTAGTTTTATAGAATAAGAAGGCAGCTTCAACCGCCTCATAATTTAATATCAATGATTAGTTTGTGGGACACGTTATCGCTTTGTGCGTTATCGTATGCCTGCATGCCAGGGTTGGAGGTGCGGCCGTACAACTCTGTGTGCAGTGACCGTACAAACAGTGACCAATCATCTACCTCTGTTTAACCTAATCCCCCATCCTGATCATGAGTAGCTCCCTGCGTGTACATACTTTATCCGCAATACCCGTACTGAATAAACGTGTTCCGTGCTACACGTCTGTTTCCTTTATAGGTGGGCTATATCTTAGCTGGTTCTGGGAGTCTAGCTAGATGTAGGAGAATCTGTCATAGAGATTTCTGAGTTAGTCAGGCTTTAATAAAGTAGCAATCCGCTACAAGTTATTTACTGACTTTTAAAATTGATTCATAAGACGAACGAGGAATGAGAATGGTTTTATTTACTAAAGTGTTGGACAAAAAATTGTAAAATGGCTACCATGCAATCATTTAATTGTTCTGATAACCGTAAAAGCAGTAGAGGAGTTGACAATATGAAATACTACTTCTATTTCAGGAAAAAAAACCTCGAATATCTCGATAACTACCGTACCCTTTCGTTTATTCCTTCAAATTTGATTTATTTTTTGCAATATTTAATCCAGTTAAATTTTTCACATAATGGAAATTTGAATATAAAAGAGGTTATAACTAGCGCGTAGGATCATATAATATCGAATCGTCTATATAGTCAATCAACTGGAAATTAAAACAAATGTAAGAAATGATTACCGTATTCAAGGAGATAACATAAATTTATTTTAAACTCAAGCCATTTAATACGAATCTAATTACGTTTGGCACTAAGCAATAATTTTTCATTAGGTTTGCACCCAAGTTCTGTACCCCATTTAAATACTACCGTTTTAAAGAGTGGAAATTGCCATACGGCGGTCAAGTTTGCAACCTCAACAACGTTCTGAAAGGTTATAGCTGTAGGCGGACCGAAATAAGCGCTTGTGTGGGGATTAATAAAAGACAAATCAATTGGAATAGCCAATTATTTAATACGAAGTATTCATTATTGCAGTGCAATTGTTTACTCTCTTTCTCAAACTGCCGTCAGGCACTTTTATGCCTCCTCATTCTGTCATTTTCTAACTTTCGAGCAATATTAAATCCTCATGCTGAATCCTTTACCTGCACCGCTCATTTCTATTCAATTTCTCTCTTTTTCGTATTCCTTCATTTTGAAAAGGTAATTTTGACTGGTAAGATATCCAATACCGATGACGAAATGTGATTGGTTACGATGTAAAATTTCTAATCAATGACAAAATTTCATATTTCTTACTTTTTCCTTCATCAAGTGAAAAGAATGCCATAAGCGCAATTTCATTGCAAATTACCCTGATTGTGAACATAGGGGTTGTGTTAAGAGCTTTAATAAAATTAGATGTACCTATTAAGAGACCATCTATTTGTGCTCGATACCGCTTAATTTGTCCATCAATCCAAAGTGTGCGTGGAGAACGTGAAGCACAAATACTTGAGTTGCCTAATGGTGATGTATTTGACGATGACATGCCGAGCGACCGACTATCAAAGAGATTGGACTGTAATTACTTGTAAGAAACCATTGCGTTTTGTTCCTACACACTTTTTTCAATTACTGAATATTGATATGTTCAAAGACGTTCGATGATGAAGATTATGGGTAATGACTTTCCACTTTTATCACTCTAAGTAAATTGTATTTTCTCATAAATAAAGCCCTAAAGACATGCCTCAGTTTCACACATCTACTTTAACTTTACTCATTTCAGTCTCTCTAACCTCCAGTAACTACATCTCAATTTGTAAACATATCTCTCCCCATTTGTAACTATTGATTTTTTGTTCTATTTGATAATACACCCATCTTCAGTGTTATGCCTGCTCAAAACAAAAATTAGTTGAGGTTGAATTGAACACTCATACGGCTGTAATAATATTACGATATCACTTTCACCTAGCAGCCAAAAGAAATTTTAGTTGACTTAGAAAACAAGTTATATTTTGGCTTTAATATTACTGAAACCGGATATATTAAAGATGTTGTTGATGAAGTTGGAAAAAAACTGCAACGAAGAAGTCATTTTGGCTCTTTATATGTGATGGTAGATGACCCAGTATATGGAATTCATTAAAGTGAATAAGCGGCAATTCCGAACTTAGTCCAACTGCCTGTAAAGGCAACAAGCGGCTGTGATAGCTCCGACTTCAAGAACGGAAAGAACTAGGATCACTGTGCCAACAGCAAGTAAATTTTTCTTTAACCATTCGTGAATTACTTTAATGCAACCCTAAACAAATAAGAAAGAGGCATAAAGGAAGACACTAAACAAACTTCTCTAGGGTAATTTTCGCACGCTGATTCACCCGATTTACAGCAACCTTGACTTGGATTTTGCCAGTCTTCTGGTCCATTAGCTCCACAACACTCAAACTAAATTGTATTAACAGCATCAATAAAAATGCAATACTTTATCTTGTAATTTCTTAAAGGCTTTCCCCGCACTTGGATTTGTAGCATTTTCAACATTTCTTATTGCCTCTTTGAGGTATTTACCAAGACCTTCTTTGAACTAAATATATGCGCAATCAATAATGCATTCAAAGTATTACCTTGGATCTGTAGATAACGAGCAAAACACCTCCAACTATTTCCGCCACTATAATTATGCCAATTGCAATAGAGAACTAGAGGAGCAAATCATCATTAAAGTATCAAATTTTATCCTACCGAAAGTAGTAAGCAACGGTTGAGACTAATGGCTCCACAGCAACCCATGAATGCGATGCCTAGTACAAGAAATCCGACGATGGTGACGAAGATGGGTATTAGATTAGCCGATCCAGTAAAACCGAACGAACGTGATTCAACCAGAAGGAATATTCCAAAGCCGGCCATAACAGCGCCTGTAAACTTAGTTTCACTAGAATATTTCAAGTTGACAACTTACAAATACGACACTGTTGAACACAATAAGCATTATTCTTAAACAGTTCTCAGTTAACCCCATAGCGAAAGAAAGTTTTGATGAAACTGATAGTTTGCGAAGTATTACAGTCAAAATGTATTTTAAGCGACTTAAACTTCTCCAATAAAACATAAGTGGCAGTGATATTTAATTTATTGCAATTTCTAATTGGCCACTACTTTCATTAAAGTCACTTAATATTAAAAACTTAGTGCCACATCTATCCCACTCTCGATTATTTTGCTCTTCAGGTGAATCGTTTATTACGTCATATGTACTCGTGCAATTTTCAGTGTTTCCCAACTTTATTAATAGTCCTTTTATATCTCAATTACGTGAAAGCTTTCGATTTCCTCTTTTGTGCAAGTAAACACTAATTAAACCACCTAACCTAACTTCAGAGCAATCTAAAAAGCTCAGTTTTTTTCGAAATGTTTATACCAGTTTACCATAATTCCTTATTTATTCAAATTGAAATGGTTAAATTGTTCCAAATATATAGCTAAGATGGAATTAATTTGTAGCAAAGCTGAGCTTTGTAGCATATTGAGTGCTTCAAATCGGTCAACTCATTGGTGTCAAAAACCAAATAAATGAGGACAATCCAACAACCAATTTCCTCCACAACCAAATACGCATTCCTTTTATTCTGCTCAACAAACATTTAGTGGGCAAAGGAATTGAATATCGGAAAGTTTTAAAAGTGAAAAAAAATTATATTGACGCCAATTCTCCTGCAGAGTTAAAAACAAAATGATTTTATGTCGCTGATATAATTTACCTCGTTCATCAAAATTATTGATCTGCCACTCAACGCCCAGTAGAAATGCTTACGCTTGAATAAATGTTTTATAAATTGATTAAAAAGCAGGTATTTCTCCCAGTTTGTGCTAAAATACCGTTTGCTTATACAGGCACCGCTCTACTTTAAAAAGTTAGTATTTATATTATTTTTGATTCTTTCCTGGTAATCAAGATTTATATTAAACAGCAATTTCGCTTTCTTCTAAACGTAGTCCATCGATCGGCTGTTGTTTACAATTAAATGCGAATTGGAGGTGATAATGAGAGATGAATCTAAAATGTGGAAAAATGGTTCTTTGAAAGTGCAGCTTTCCTGGAATTTCGAATATGAATTAATCCCGCTTAACCTTTTGATCTATAACATAGTCTATCCCCATTATTTTGCAAGCTGATTTGTATAATTTCTGTTCAGTACATCAAATTAAAGACAGTTTAAAAAATCCCTCTCACTTATTTTCCACAGAACGCTGATTCAATGAATGTGAGATTCGCCCTCTGCGTGGCATTAAATGATTTAATTCGCGATTACATGATGTTACTTTAGTCGCACACATCACATGCAAACAACAATATTTCTGCTGAAATACTTAATGGATTGGCCACAAAGTAATTTTTGGTGAATAGAAGGGAGTTGGTGTATAATACATCATGATCATCAACCTCAGCATTTATAAAATTTAGTCTCTTTCGGATTAATGCTCATTCTTTGTTTAACTGTTTAGTATTCAAATTTAATATCTCATTAAGACCATCTAGTCAACAAGCTTAAACAAGCATTTGATTTCTATCAAATTATAATAGCTTTACGGATAGATAATCTTATAGTCATCATCGGTTGTTACCAATGTAAAAGTCAAAGTTAAAATTTGTTCACCTATGGGGCTTCTTTAAGTGGTATTTCTGGAAATGTAGGAATGCGGGTTACTTTTGGCCCAAGTATGACTCACAAACACATTCTCTCCCACAAGGGCCACAAATGAGTTTAAATGCATATTTTCTAGATCATAGAATTATCAAGACTGAATCTTTTCCTTCTTGCAGGTAACATCAGTGTGCTAACATTACTGACATGTCTAATATGCTTGGAAATAGGAGACAGAGAGTATTCACCTGGAAAGACTTCACTACGCTGACCTCGTCACACGAAATGTAAAATGCAACGTAACCTATCATACTGTTTTGTTGTGTATAATGTAGGATAATTCAAACACTTCACATTTTGTTTAGAGCAGAAAGTGATTCATCATATTACATTTCACGAGATTGATTTCATGGTATAAAATGATGTCACATTTTGTTAATCATGACTGGCCAAACCACTGACATTTTCTGTTCAAATAAACATGCACACAGTAATTCCCACTTTAATTACTTTAAATCGGTTGTGTTAAATTGGTCATTCATTGCCCAGTTTTAAATCGCTCTTTTCGTGTCATGGGATGCTTCAATTGTGGGACACTTCATTAATGACCAAATAGAAATCCTGCTATAGAATACTACTCAGAAATATTTAGCTATTAATGTTCATGCAAATTATGCCAGCTTTATCTGATAACTAATCGCTTTGCCAACATTACACTTCGCTATCAATATACGTACTGAATAAACATATTCCGTGCTACACGTCTATTTCCCTTATAGCTGGGCTATAGCTTAGCTTGTTCTGGGAGTCTAGCTAGATGTTGGAGAAACTGCCATAGAGATTTCTGAGTCGGTCAGGCTTTACTAGCGTAGCAATTCGCTACACAATTCTCCAACTACGAAGATGAATTTAATAAAACTTTATCGATACTTTGTAAGCAATTAAATTAACTAATTAAAAAAATTCATCCAAAAAATTTTCCCATAATTTATTGATAGAGCTGCTATATTCTACTGGATTATGTTTATTCAGTGTACAAATTTGTATCTTAAGAACTTGAAGAGATGTTTCCTATGAAGTAAATACGTAGATTTAGCTTTTTCGGGTTCCTCTGTTGTATAATTGCATTTGATAGGTTGTACAATTTACCATTACCGCGAATAAAAATATGCCCCTTTTGTTGCATGATCATTCCTCGTCAAGAGACCTCTAAATAGTTAATTTTTCAGAATTGCAATAAATGGCTTTCTAAACCGAAATTCGCCAAAATTAACTAATATAACAATTAAAAATAATGACTAAACTTTGACGATGAGATAAATTTGCTTCAGCATGATAAGTTTTCTCCCATTAACACCATCGACATGCTTTTAAACTTAACTTTTTGGAAATAGTTGCACAAAATCATCCTTACAAAAAATGGCACAACTTAAGGAAAATGGGTTGAAAATTTCTATTATTTCTCCTTATTAATTCTTAGTGGTCATGCGCACAGACAAAGATGCTATATTTGAATCTACACATCTATGTGTATTTATATGACATTCTGCAACTTCAAATACCTCTTCTTCAAATTAATTCGATTATGTAGCAAATTGCTACACTAGTAAAGCCTGACTGACTCAGAACTCTCTGTGGTCGATTCTCCTACATCCAGCTAGACTCCCAGAACTAGCTAAGCTATAGCCAAGCTATAGAGGAAACAGACGAATAATACGGAACAGGTTCATTCAGTGAGGATATTTTGGGTTAAGCGTACACGCGGGGAGCTTAGTCATGATCAGCATGGCGAATTGGGTAAAACGAACGGAGGCTTCTGATTGGCTACTGATAGTACGGTGGCCTGCACAGTGTTTTACGACAGCACCTCCCATTTCTGGCGTGTGAATGCGATGAAGCGTTAAGTTATGACGTGTCCCACAATCATCTTGGCTAAGATTATCTCAAATTCATGAATCCACAAGTAGTTACTCAGATTAAGAAGTTTATTTATTTATTTATATCAAATGGCAGTCATTTTGATAGTTATCATTAGCCCTGTAGTTGACTTCAGGCTTCACAGAGGGGAAAGAACGTCAAAATGAAAAAAAGTCGGAGGGGGCGGGAATAGAAGAGTGTTTCAAAGATGTAAAAGAGATAGACACAAAGGTAGAGAAAAGGTGAGATGAGTACTATGGAAGTAGTCGAATATGACGTGGACTGGGGTGATGGTAGTTTGAAGTCAGAAGTCAACTGCCCATTGATAGACTTTTTTGCCGTATGAGTATGCGTTGCCCAGGGTGCACCACGTGGAGGTAAGTCTATCGTACACCCCCAGATTCAGAAGTATTTTCTGGTCAACATAATATGATTTTTATGTCAAGTGTAAGAAAACACTATTATCCTTCTTCTAGGAAGTCAATCATGGTGGCGAACGCTTCGTATATTGAATAACAGACCCACAGAAATTATTTTACTCCTCAATTTGGGAAACATCGTGTGAAGGGAAATGGTCCTTCTGCAAATATGAGGGGCATTAAACTGTATTAACAAGGATAATTGGGGAAAGGAAGTCCAGTACTAGTTTCCAAGATGCTAGAAGTGAGGCCTACTAAATATTTTTCCCTAAAATTCACTAACCTGACAAATTTCTTTCATCCATTGAAATTATTGATGAAACTTATTCGGTTTTCCATACAAAACCGCAGAACACATCAGTTTCAGGTCAAAGGATAAATGCATCTGAGTTTAAGGCATATTTACGCCCAAGCGAGATCACTAATGTAAAAAGTATACAACAAGAAAATTTCCATCAGTTGCAGGCTCATTGTTTAAATGTCATTAGCCTAATTACAAATATGAATTAAAAATATCTCTAGAAAATACAATATTTTTGTATCACGTTAAGCGTTAGAGCATGCCTTAAATTACTCCAATATTCATTCCCACAATATCTTTACCTCAATGAATAAAAAAATACGATATTTGAGATTTGAGAAAACATGAGTCGATTCGTTTCCAATTGTGGTAAAAAAAGCCAATTGTTCAACAATGCAAGCATCACATTACGGAGGGGACGAAGGAGTAAGAGTTGTGAATAGTACATTGGTTAGCAACCGTATAGCAAAGAAAGCAAATACTTTATCAACACTCTGTTAAAAGTAGTATTTTTGATATGCTTTATTTAGTGTAAAAGTGAAATTCCATGATGTCAATGTTGCAAAATTAAAGCACTTTTTACATAATCGACTGGGCGACAGAGAAACACCTGACCAATCGTTTTAACCATTATCTTCATTAGTAGTTATGGAGTTATTAAACTACGCCGTGGATTAATTCCAGCTGTAGTTTGCCTATTTTGTTGCCACATTCTTAGTAAATATTTTAAGAGATAAAGCGAGTTTGAAGTTATCGTAATCATCTCTCTTATACTGGTGAAATTTGTAAACAATCATTTCTCTAATGTCTTGCAACATTATCCAGTCGACCCACATAAATGAGCAAGTGAGAATTATATTGAAGCTTCAGGCTGCCCTAAAGTGACATTCAAATAACGAGAGTCCATAGTTAAACTTCTATGGGATAAGTGCACTGAATGATTGGACGCACCCGACTATGAGTTGTTGTATACCTGATGAACAAACACTATGCAATTATTACCCGCAGCAGGTTTGAGATCTCCATTCTTCAATGAATCCACCTTTGGTTCAAAGGGCTGTGCTGATGCACTTTTCGATACTGTAGAACATAGCATGCTGACTGTCGGTGTTATAGGTCTTATTGTGTTGGCGCAATCGTGTCCGCAACATACGTAATTGAATCTAATATTCCGAATGTTATCTAGCCTCACCATGTATGTAACGGTGACCACTGGCACAGTGAACCTGGTCATAAAATTCATGTCCATTGCCTACTGTGCTAATGCCAGAATAGGTAGTTATATTGAATGCAAAAAGCATCTATTGTTTGATAGAATATTTATTTATTTATATCAAATGTCAGCCCTTTAGTTGACTTCAGGCTTCACAGAGTAGAGGAACATCAAAGTAAGAAAAACGTCGAGAGGGGGTACGGAAGATTGTTTCAAAGATGTAAAAGAGAGAGACACAAAGGTAGAAAAAAGGTGAGGTGAGTACTGTGATAGTAGTCGAATATGACATACAGTGGGGTGATGGTAGTTTGAAGTGAGAAGTCACCTGCCGTATGAGTATCCATTGTCCAGGATGCACCACGTGGAGGTAAGTCTATCGCTCACCCGTTTGATAGAACGTAAATAAAATATATAGTTAAAAGTAGACTGCTCGAGATAAGTTTGTGAACAATAAAATGCTTTCTAACAGTAAGTGTTTCTAAATAGGAGAGAAAGGACACTAGTGAAAGAATTATAAATCGCCAAAATAAGACAAGTGTGCTTTTAATGATTGTATCCTCGAAATGGGTGCCCTTGGGAATGGAGTCATGGGCTATACGAAGATGTTTCAATTTAATATTTTGAGTTATATATATAATTAAGCTTATTGCTATACACTTGTGAAGAGAGAACAAATGCACTGTCTTCCTTAAATTGAGAGTTCATTTATTTGGTCACTATACAGGTTATTCAAGATGCCTATAACAGTGCAAAAAATAACGGACATGAATAACTTACACTGCTAAACACATTTCGAATTCATGTTAATTATTCCCGGTCAATATCCTATCGGCCCAGGCACAAATGATGCTCCATGATCCTACCGAAAATGAATGTTAGGAAACTCTCCGAAATAGACTTGGGGGAATCAAAATGTTTATTCAACTTTGCGTTCTTCAGACCAATTGATCAATCCCTTGTGCAAACCTTATTAAACGCCGTTATGAAAGGTTGCCCTCACCTCTGTAAGACTAGTGTTTTTTCTATAAATAAAGCTCCTTTTCTTCCATATGTCTCACAAATTAACATGTAACCACCACTAGCACCCATTACAATTGCTCATCATGTATAACTATACCTTGACGCATTCAAATTATCCAGATATTTTTCATTTCAGCGTTCCCAAAACACGTGAGTTATCACAAAAAAAACAAGAAACATGATAAAATGGATTTTTGAAGTTACAAAAACCTGATTAATTTCAAACGCCATTGGTTAAGCGAATGAATGTAAGCGCAATCTGCAGACAATATTTTCAGAATCATGAACATAAGTCTGTCAGCCACGTCGTGTAACCCCAAATGCCTGCGGGTTTTTCTCCTCGTCACCAATATCATTATCTTCGTAAGCTACTGGCCATTCCACTCTGATAGTTATTAGATTGCCGGTGTTGTCATTTCCGGTGTTGGAATATTTCTTTGGATAAAATCGAATGAATTGGGACATGGAAACTCAGCTCCAACTATTCCCATTTTCATCACAGCGTTGGGATTTGTATCAATTTTGTTCGGATTCTTGGGCTTCCTCGGCACAATAAAATTCAACAAGTGTCTATTAACGATGGTTGGTTTTAGTTAATATTGCTAATGAAGCAACAATCATTCAGTTAACTGTTGCCTTAGGAATAACAATTGTTATTGAAATAGCGTGCGCGTTATCACTTATTATCTACAAGGAGAAGGTGGGCTTCAGATGAATCTAATCATTTACTTCAATAGATGAACGCATCTATACAAGACTTCTTCACCCAAACCATTGCAGAGGTTGAAACAAACGCAAATAGTGGAAAGGAAGAATTACTCAAAACACTGCAAGATAAAGTATGTTTAAATTCTCTTTGTGTGCTCTTACTGTTTTAGTTCAACTGTTGTGGAGCTTATGGGCCTAATGATTGGAAGGAACCTCAAAATAGATGCTGTAAGGTGGGAGAAGCCAATTGTGAAGGATATCCTACACAGGTTTGTACCTTCCGTTTTCATAACATCCTCTCGGTTCAATTAGGGTTGCATTGAAGCTGTGTCGAACGCATTAAAGAGCGGCTTAATTGTCCTGGGAATAACCATTTTTATTCTAGCTTCCATAGAGGCAGGAGCTCTCGTGGCTGCTATTTGTGCAATGAAAACTCAATTTTAAGTTTTCCGCACAAGTTTACCACTATCTCTAAATGATAGTTTCTACTCCCTTGCTCTCCAAAATGCGCTCTTCTTTTATTTATGCTGATTCATATTTTTCCTGAGAATGGTTTATATATGCTCTAAATACACGGACAAGAAACAAAAATAAATTTTGGCTTACTTTACAAATAATAATACAAATAAAAATGTCATAGTTCATTCTTTATATCAAATATATATATATATATATATATATATATATATATATATGTGTGTGTTTATGCTTATGTTTGTGTATTTGTGCGTATGTATATTTGTAAACAGAATTGTAAAGGCAGCGGTTCTCATGCGTCGATTCACTAATAGTAAGATGGATATGAATTACATGATTTGCTGATTGGTGGACAAATGTTGTCATTGGAACCTTCTCCACTGATGATCATACTTATCTAAAATTAAGTGAAGACGTCAGAAGATTAGCAATTCAATGCGAAAGGGATTGTTGCGGATTGATACATAAGTAAAGGCTGACTGACTCAGAAATCTCTATGGCAGATTCTTCAACATCTAGCTAGACTCCCAGAACCAGATACGCTATAGCCCAGCTATAAAGAAAACAGACGTAGAGCACGGAACACGTTTATTCAGTAGGGGTATTGTGAGTAAAGTGTACACGCAGGGAGCTAATCGTGATCAGGATGCCAGAAGTGGTTAAACAAACGAAGGCTACTGATTGGCCACTGTTTGTACGATCGCTGCACACAGAGTTGTACGGCTGCACCTCCCAATCCTTGCGTGCAGGCATACGATGACGTGTCTCCCATGTACAACAAGTAAAGTAAAAACAATGGGGTCGGAATGTAAAACTGGAAGTTAACGGTCTTTCATATGGCTATTAGCATCTAGGCTAATCTCCATAACCTAAGCCTGATATTGCATGTATTTTTGCGCACTGAAAGCTGGGAGAAATTTAGCCGCAAATAACATAAGTTATGGCATTATGGAAAATCGCATTATTTTTTTTTAAACTGAAGTATTTTAATAAGTAGGAATTACCTCAAAATTTAACGCTCGTGTCTTGATTCAGAAGATCGATATTGGGCAAACGTAGACAAGATTTTGTTCATAGTCATGAAAGGTCCAATAATCACTCAGTGGTCTTAGAAATTTTTATTTACATCAATTTATTTAGGGTCCATTATGTTTCATTAAGTCAAGAAGTCCGAAGTTTGAAAATTCAACGCGAAAGGGTTAAATTCACGTGTTCACGGTGCACACTGTGTACTAGATTGAATGAACTAAGATTATTTAATTTCACATTATTACAGTACGCAAAAAAATATATTGACATGGGTGTTCATTTAGCGGTTATGCGTCATATTGAAATACCAGTCCTATGTAAAAATATGTGAATTTCGTCAGAAGTAACTCAATGTTTTCCGACACCACCGAGGCAGTCTTTTCAAATTTCCTTGTTTTTGGGCAAACTTAGAAGCATTATTAAATATTATCTTCGAAATAAAGTAAAATAGATTTCTAAGAGCGTTTAAGAAGCATAAGTTTTCTTGAGGTGAAGCATTTGTAAAAAAATACTATTCGGATAGCATTTTCATACCTATTCATCTTGAGGGAAATCTAGTGCTCTTCATTACGAAAAAGGCAAATCTGGTGAAGTAGATCTGTCAGTATTTTAGTTCTCAACAGAAGAAACTGTCGAAAAGCCATGACCAACCTTACTATTCGATACATGCATATATGATACCCTCTTTCTATTTTGTATATTTATATTTGAATATAGAATAAGTGGATCAACTAGCGTTATATGGGAATACACAATGACGTACCATTTTGTGAAGTGACTCAAATCGTCTATGCCAATTAGATCAATGTACTAGCATTAAGGTCGAATAAAGCTACATAAATCAATGTGAAAACAAAGCTTATTTGTGGTACATTCAAGAATAAAGTTGTGCTTCGAAGCTTATTACAATCAAACAAGACAGTCATTTTATCTATCTGTAAAAGTATTATCGTTTTGTAGAAAACAAATGTTTGATATGTATTGTAGCATTAAGGTCTTAATATGTTATTGAATTTAAATTGTAATAAGTAAAACGAAGATACAGCACTAACCTGGATCAGACTAAAGTAAATAAATAAGAAGCTGACGATCATCATGCATTCCACATCAACTCCCTTGGAATCACTCTTGATTACTAGAGTGGCCTGTCCACTTTGCATATTCACAGTAATATTGTTGCAATATTAAAGCCATGCTATTGGGAATTAAACTATTTAGTGGGAGCAAGATCGTAACTACCACAAAGGCTGCATATCTCATTCGGGTTGATTCAGAGCTTCGTGGTCATTTAATTAAGAGGTCTTATATCATGGGGTGCGGGATAGACTTACCTCCACATGGTGCACCCTGGTTAACACATACTCATGCGGCAAAATAGTCTATACACCGCCAATTGACTTCTGAGGTCTAACTACCATGACCCCATGGTTTATCATATCCAACCATTTCCACAGTACTCATCTTATCTTTTTCTACCATAATGTCTGTCTGCCCATCCCTTTTACATCTGTGAATCACTCTTCTTTTCCCCTCTCGGATTTTTCTCACTTTGATGTTCCCCCCTCGGTTAATTTCGAAGTCAGCTAAAGAGCAAATGATAGATATCAAATAAATTAATAAATAAATATCACCTATCATTAATTTCATTAATCAATATATCAGGGTCGTTAACTAGATTCGTGAGTTTAGGAGTGCGATTTTACAATATAAGCACAGTGGATAAAATTTGCACCATCCAGGTTGCCTGCTTCCCCAATAGACTGTTGAGTATATTCTTGTACGATTATCATTCACATTTATTCGTCTAATGGATGTTATGAATGTTCTTAAGTAATATTCAAAAGTTCAGAAAAGCAGTACTTTTAAAGAATCACTTTTCCATGCTTCCGTTTTACCTCTCATCACCTTCTCCAGTTCGAATTTTAAAGCAAACTTCATTTGTGACGTAGACTGCGTTTGGAAGAAAGCAATGTTGTTTCCTAGTTCAAATTATGATGTACATCAAAAACAATACTATAATAATAACTTTTTCAAAGTAAACAAATGCTAATTGTCTGTTTAAATCAATACCATTTTACTGTATATACTACTGCGAATAATTTTGTTATAACCAATTTGTGAATGTTGCCTTTAGGAATGCACGTTCGTGGAGATTCTATGGGGACAGATTCATTATTTTGAAGGAAGAGGGTAAATTGTACCCAATGACTTAGTTTGTCCTCTTATTGATAACTAACTGGTTTAGGCATTGGAAGTGGAGATTAATGTCATTATTAATTTATTTCAAATGGCAGGCGTTTTGAAATTATCATTACCCCTTTAGTTGACTTCGGGCTTCACAGAGGTGAGAAACATTAAAGTGGGAAAAATTCGAGAGAAGTGGCAGAAGAGTGATTTATAGATGTAAAAGAGACAGACAGACACAAAGGTAGAGAAAAGATAAGACGATTATCGTGGAGTGATAAAATATGACATAGTGTTGGGTCATAGTAGTTGCAAGTCAAAAGTCAACTGCCGGTTTATAGACTTTTTTCCTGTATGAGTATACATTGCCTCAGGGTGCACCACATGGAGGCACGTCTATCGAACGCCCCTTAATGGCATCATAAAATGTGTCAAATATTAGTATCTTTCGATATCCGCTCCCTTTACTCATCGGAGGAAGTTAATTTTCTTTTATTAATAATGAGTTAAAATGCGTAAAGGGAATGAAATTAAATTTGGTCTTATATTGTTATTCAATTTAAATAAAAAAATTTTTTGTACGAGGTTATCTGAGGTTCGGAAATAACCAAAATGCTTTACCAAAGGTTGAGACATTGGTTTTGAAAATGGTGATTCAAGTGTCCAAGTTTATTTGGATTTAAGGGGGTATTCTGGTCTAGAGACATGAATTTTAGGTCATTTTTGAAGTGCTGTAAAATGTAAGCAATATTTTATTATCAATTTTTTATGCATTATTTATTCACATTGGAAGCATACAAAAAAATATAAAATTTATCAAAATTTAAAATTCCGTTAGTTATCAGCTGATGAAGTGAGGCGTCTCAAAAATATTGTGCGTGACCATACCCACGATTTTAACTCTTCGAGTAATCTGAAATCAAAAAATAAAAAAGATTAACAATCAACAATTATGCCGCTAGGTCCGGAACTACGGAAAAGTTGAAAAAATATTTTTTTTACAAAATGGCGACTGTCTAAAGAAAAAAACATTTTGAACCACTTTTTAAACATTCGTTGATTTTTTTAAAAATAATAAAATAAAAATTTGGGGATGGTCCTAGTTCCGGACATAGACAAGTCTCTAAATAAGACTCTCTTAAAATTTTAAGTAAATCGGTTCGGCAGAATCTGAGAAATCGTGGGTATCAAATTTTAAAAAAACGGTTTTGAGAAAAACGCATTTAAAGCTTCAAGTAAAATTTTTTGCAGCCCAAGTCATAAAATTATATTTTTCATTTGCACTTAATCAATCTGTCATTCCTTCTGCATACATCCGACCTTCCTCGACTTGGAAAAAAACTATTTTCGACGCCTCTGTTTTCTATTCGAGCAGTTCTGGCCTCCTTTGATGCGCTGGGTGCTCGTATCGAGCAGTTCTGGCCTCCATTGATATGCCTGGATGCTCGTATGTTTTCTCGAGCAGTTCTGGCCTCCATTGATATGCCTGGATGCTCGTATTTTCTATTCGAGCAGTTCTGGCCTCCTTTGATGCGCTGGGTGCTCGTATCTCGGAGCGGTCAACCCGAGTGTCGTCTCGTCTGATAGCAAATGCATGAGCTTCTAAACCGATTTTTACTCCCATAATCGTCATCGTCTTCAATATCGGTATAAAGCCTTCATTATAAATACACGCATCAATAAATCGATCTGACACCCGGAATGGATATGCTTTGGAGCGAAAGTCATATCAGCCCGCTTAGAGACTCATTATCATTTTGAGTTTCTGAACCCAAACATAGAATCAATAACTCTTCTGATGATAAACTTCGAAAGATTTGTCAACGAATGGACATGATGGAATGTAGTGTAGACTATTGCAACTGCATTGTAATGCAAATTTGAACCCTACCCCGCATTGAAAATATAATCTTGAAAATATAATCTCGTTGTTGTATGTATTACACGAAATAAACAAAGAAATTGCTGGAAAGACCATGAAAACTTCAAAACACAGTAGCCGTAATTATTATCTATAATCACTTCTTCATCATTTGATTTTCTCAATTTTGCTTCTGGTGCATTCGCAAAACTGGTGTTTCCTGTTCTGTAAGTCTGTTGCTGTGAAATATATATATATATAACAGAACAAAAGGGCTTACTAAGAAATATAGATTCAGGTTGTCGGAGAAGCCAATGTGTATTTTGTTCGATTAGTTGCACCCCAACCGATTTGAATGCCTGCTCAGCAAAGTATTTATATCTCCGAAAATAATTTGAATTTTGGAAAATCCTCTCGTAGACATATTCTTAAATAGTTAAACTATGAAAATATGCAAAAAAAATTTTCGAGATTTTTTAGACCAGAATATCCCCTTAAGCTACAAAGCTAAGCTTTGCTAAGATTCAATAACACGTGAAGTCATCTTTGTTATTTATTCGTGGCAATTTGACCATTTGCTTTAAAATTATTTGGTCATTCTGTGCAAATCATAGCTCTTTAGATAAATCTAAATATGAATCAATAAAATTATTGGCGTCATTGAGCTGTAAAAAGAATATTATGAATATTGAGAAGCACAGAAAAGTGTACAAACGCATACGAAGTAATAAAAAACTCTTGTGACGGGCAATATATTCGTGAGTGGGATAGATGAGCAACTTTATTTCGGGTCGATAAGTAGCATTAAGTAAATTACTATCAGCGAATCGGAAGTTTCTAATAATTAAATATCACTGCTTCTTTCATCATACTGGATGAGCTTATGGCAATTAAAAAATACTTTAATACAAATATTTCATAAACTACTAATTTTACCCAAACTATCTGTTACAATGGGATTTACAGAGAAGTGTTTAATAATATGCCTTTTTGCATTCAATAGTGTCGTCTTTGTAAGTTGTCACTTAACAGTTATCTAGCGAAGGTAAGATTGCTGGAGTTGTTTTGGCCGGTTTTGGAATATTTCTTCTTGTTGAATCAAATTTGTCTGGCTTTTCTGGATCGGCTATTTTAATCCCCATCTTCATCACAATTGTCGGATTAATTGTACTAGGCATCGCAATTTTGGGATACGTTGGGGCCGTTACATTGAGACGCAGTTTACTCCTCTCGGTAGGGCAGAATTTATTTCTTCAATGGCACTTCTAACATCTAGTTTGTCATTGCAATTGGCATAGTCATTTTGGCAGAAATAGTTGGAGGTTTCGTACTGGTCATCTACAGATCCAAGGTAAAATTTAAAAGGCATTAATGATTATATATTTATAACATGAATATGTAGTTAAAAGAAAATTTTGGCAAATACTTCTTAAAAACTATAAAGAGCAATGAAAATGGTACAAATCCAAATGGAGTAAGAGTCCTACGGAAAATACAAGATATGGTAATGAACCGCTTTTATGCCACTGACATATTCTAGTTTGGGTGCTGTGGAGCTCATCATGCGGAAGATTGGCCCCGACCATACGAAAGCTGCTGTAAATTGAATGAATCAAGCTGCGATGAATATTCTAAAAACGTTTGTTCAGTGTCTTTATTTGAGCCTATTTCTTATTTGATTAGGGATGTGTTGATGTGATTTATGAATGGATAAAGAAAAATGTGCTTGCCGTTGGTGTATTGGTACTAATTCTTTCCGTGATTGAAATCGGAGCAATGGTATCGGCTATCTTTCTTCTCTAGCAACTGGAATAGGTTGAAAATTACCAATTACTCCGATTCGTGAAATCTACATTCAGAAACATCTATAATTCCCTATTGTGAGACTAATGGTTCTTACTTAATAGTCTTTTCAATTTCTTCTAAAACTCCATTAACACCCCTTCTCCTTATCTTTAATACTGAAATAATATTTAAGCACTCTGTCAATTTCATTTCACAATGGACAAAATTTTAACAATCCATCTTACACAATTATTTCATTGACTAATGAACACATTCTTGTATTTTATTTTTCATTTCAGTTCTTATCTCTCAAGTAAATAAGAAGGGGGGGGGGGGGGGGGGGGGTTTGGGACATGGGGGAAGCTAAGAAAATTAAAAAAATTAAAAACGGGCGAATGCGTGTGAAGGAAGGTGAAAGCAAAGCACTCTTGTGAAACATTCTGATATCCGCTTCCTTTAACAATCCAAGGGGATTAAGTTAGTTGTGTGTTTAAATGCGATTGAGATGTAAATAGACAATCACTAAAGTTTCGTAGTACAGAAAATTGTAGCATGGCAAACATAGTAAAACGTAACCCATTTGAGGAGCGATATTCTCGAGTATATGTTAATCGAGTTACTTGATTAGGGATCAAAAAAAGGAATTAGTGGATTCATTAATTGTTCTAGAGGGTAAAATATCACTAATAAACTAATTTTATTCGAGGAGCCTAGGCTAATTTAAAGATATGTTATTTCTAATGCATCTTAAACTATCAGTTTTGCCAAAACTATCTACCATTATGGGGGTGTGCGATAGACTTACCTTCTCGTGGTGCACTCTGGGCAACGTATTCTCATACGGCAAAAAAGTCTTTTATCGGCAGTTGACTTCTGACTTCAAACTACCAAGACCCCACCGCATTTCATATTTGACTAATTCCACAGTACTCACCTTTTTTTCTACCTTTGTGTCTGTCTGCCTCTTTTACGTCTGTGAATCATTATTCTGTCCCCCCCTCTCGGCTTTTGTCACTTTGGTGTTCCTCTTCCTTTCTGTGAAGCACGAAATCAACTAAAGAGCTAATGATGATAAATATAAATATCTTAGCTGGTTCTGGGAGTCTAGATAGATGTAGGAGGATCTGCCATAGATATAAACGCGCTCCGTGCTACACGTCTGTTTTCTTTATAGCTGAGCTATAGCTTAGCTGTTCTCTAGCTAGAGGTTGGAGAATCTGCCATAGAGATTTCTGATTCCTAGCTAGATGTTGGAGAATCTGCCATAGAAATTTCTGAGCCGGTAGCTAGATGTTTGAGAATCTGCCATGGAGATTTCTGAGTCGGTCTGCTAGATGTAGGAGGATCTGCCATAGAGATTTCTGAGTCGGTCAGACTTTACTAGTGTAGCAATCCGCTACACCTCTGTAAGCGCCATAATGGTAGATTTATTTATTTCAAATGGCAGGCGTTTTGACAGCTATCATTAGCTTTTTAATTGACTTCGGGCTTCACAGAGGGAAGGTTCACCAAAGTAGCAGAAAGTCGAGGGGTGGGGAACAGAAGAGCGATTCACATATGTAAAAGAGGCGGACAGACACAGAGGCAGAGAAAAGGGTAAGATGAGTACTGTGGAAGCGATCGAATATGACAAGCAGTCGTCTCATGGTATTTTGAAGTCAGAAGTCAACTGCCGGTTAATAGACTTTTTTGCCGTATGAGTATACGTTGCCCAGGGTGCACCACGTGGAGGTAAGTCTATCGCGCATCCCCCCAGCTAAGATATAGCCCACCTATAAAGGAAACAGACGTGTAGCACGGAGCACGCTTATTCAGGACGTATATTGCGATCAAGTGTTCACGTAGGAAGCTACTCATGATCAGGATGGGGGATTAGGTTAAACAGAGGTTAATGATTGGTCACTGTTTGTACGGTCGCTGCACACAGAGTTGTACGGCGCACCTCCCAATCCTGGCGAGCAGACATGCAGGCATACGATGACGCACACAGCGATAACGTGTCCAACAGAGGAATCCTTAAGAATATCTCTAATTGTGTTCAATAGTGACGTCTTTGTAATTTGTATTCATTCTGTCTTCTAGTGATGGTAAAATTGCAGGTGGTGTTATGGCCGGTTTCGGAATATTCTTTCTAGTTGAAACGAATTCGTTCAGTTTTACTGATTCGACTAATTCAATTCCCATCTTCTTCACCATTTTCGGATTACGGCATTGCATTTTTTAGGCTACTATGGAGATAAAAGCTCAGCCGCCGTTTGCTTATCTTAGTAGGATCATATTTGATACTTCTATGCCATTTCGATCGTCTAGTTTGCAATTTATATTAGCATAATCGTTTTGCTAGAAATAGTTGCAGGTATCTTTCTCACTGTCTACAGTTTTTCAAAAACGTTCTTGAAATCACTTTAAAAAAACTCTAGGAAACAGTAGAAACAGTGGAAATGCTCTTAAGGAATATGCTCAATAGGATATTGAATTATCTTAATGCTCCTGATACATTTTATTTTGCATGTTGTGGAGCTAAAGGACAAAAGTCTGGTTTAACTCAACTAAAGACTGATGTAAATTGAGTGACTCAATCCTAAAGGAGTTTGTTGAGTGTCGCAAGTTAAACCTTTTACTTATTTAAATAGCGTTGTGCTGATGTCATTTATGAGGGGATCGAACAAAATTTACGTTCTGCTTGTGCAATGATTTTCATTCCTGCCTTTCATGAAATCAGAGCAATTACACCTGCTTATTGTAATCTCAAGCAACTGAAATAGGTTTTTTTAAATGGTTAATTATTTACTTTGATGAATTCTATATTCATGATCATCTACCAACACAAATTACAAGTCAAATGACCCCTTCGTAACAGTTACTTTTTTTTCAATTTCATCAACAATATCATTAACATATCACGTTGCCCTATTACTAGCATTAAAGTATTATGTAATCACTATGTCAGAAAGTCAGTACTGCTACAAACCTGAGTCTTTTGATAGCAAATCAGAAGAGCATGGCCTATAACCTCGACCAATTTTTGCTTAAAGCAGATATAACAATGGTGATGGGTGTTTTTGGAAAGAGAACAAAGGAACGATAATTACAAATAGTGGTCTCTATCAATGGTCATAAGGGTAGTGGACAGCCCTATGTGTGTTTGCGAAGTGATTTAGAAAGGCAAATAGGAGCAAAGAAGAGTAAGACACTGGAAGCTAAATATTGCTCATGCTCGGTTGTAAGCCGATAGTTTATTGAGAATGGGAAAATTATTGCTTTGCTTACAGATATCAGCTTTATCAGGCCCAGTCAATGTGAAAATAATGGAAGGTTGCCGAAAATATGAATAATTAATACATTCTAGGGAGAAATAGCATATCTGATGTAGGAATAAAATCATAATGGTCAAGTCTGGGGAAATGTGGCCTTTTTCAAATTACACAATAACCACAACCACCTCTTTCACTTCCACGATAAATCTCTTTTTTTTCCAGAGGAAAGACTTGTTTGGATGGCTCTTTTAATTTTCTCCTGATAGTGATCATTCCATTTTCAATGAATCTAAAACGATTATGCAAGAGAGGCCTATCTTCTCGGTATTTTGACTTCATTCTACTCCCGTTTAGTGGTGAACTTGTAAAAGCCGTTAGCCTGATACCTGAAGTCCTGTTTTAGTTTTTAGTTTACCCATACAAACTTCTAAATGCGTGTATTAATGAAATATCAAATGGGTACCAACTCCCAATCCATGAGAGACATGTATTCTAATTTCCTTTCATTGTTCACTTTACCACCAACTAAATGCACCTGAATGCATCACTTTCACTATATATTTGAGTCGATATTGACTTATCAATGTACTAATGGTATGAATGTGATTTGTGTAGTTCTGGGCTCTTGATCACTAATTTCTAAAGTATTTATGTTTAAGGGCTTTCAAATAGGCAGCTTTTAATCACAACGCTAGTAATTGGCCATTGGTGACATACAGCAAAAGCTTTTTATTCAATGGTCTAGATCACCCTGGTCCTTTAAAGATCCATAAACACCACAACCAGCCATACCAAAGTCACCAACATAGTCCAATCCACTAGATTGTACCGAGAGAGCTACAGGGGCTGATATTAACCTCGTAAATTATTTCGTCAATTCAAAACTTATGCCATCTACTAATAGTGTGTAAGTAGTGCGCTGTTTATGGTAATTTTAAAACGATTCCTCAAACCGATTAAATTATTTGCATATGTGCGCATAATTTTAAGTAATACAGTACTAGAATCCTTATGAAATCAGAATAGATATATCTGACTTGATTAACTCATTCTTCTCTAAGTGTATAAATTGTGTTTCCGGATTTATATTTGTAATTCTAAATGCTTCTGCACTAGAATCTTTAAAAAATTTGGTACGTCATATTAAATACTCACAAATTATACTGTTGACTAATTATTTCATAGTTTTTTTGCCTACTAAAGGTTGCATTTTCCAAACCCCTACTCTTCACTATTCAAGGTTGAAGGAGATGCTGAAGACATTTAATCTTAAGATACTTCTGCCGTATTCCCATTGACCCTCCATTCTCTCATTAATAGATGATGATTTATTCCCTTCAAATTGGCGTAACAAGTTTGAATTTACAATGATTAGTTCAACATCAAAATGACCCATATTGTTATTAAAAATGAGCTTTCACTAGGGTCATTCAGGTCTTTTTCGCTGTTCTCAATTCGGTACAAGATACGTTCATTAGCATTTTATTTTTTTAATTAATGCAATTAATGGTGGTGCAGGGCAGTAAAGGGCAAAATGATATATCTCCGTCTCCATAACAGCTTTACACGATTGAGGTAAAAATATAAATCGATGAATTTATGAAATCATAGGCCAATTTAATTGCAATTAGTTATTTCATAAGCCAACAACAAAAAAGCATTTAATTAACAAGGAATAATAAGTAACACGTTGATCAGCAAAAAATTAACCGTAAAATAACTCAGCTTATCCACGATCAATTAACATGGAAGTTGCCAATGTTTTTTTATTGAGGTGATTTCTGTTGATAAGTTAGTGGATGATGACATGGGAATATTACAACTGCAACCCAAAAGAGCATATCACTGCATCATTCATGGAAACTCTTCGTACTTGGTAGCATTAAATAATGATACTATATCTGTTGGGAGAAACTAACATGCTCGGGTTTTTAAAGGCTTGCAATCAGAGTCATTCTAGGTGGCATTTGGCTTTAGGTTTGATCAAAACAGTTCAAAATGATTGGCATTCCAGGGTTTATTACAGCTCTAGGGTGCTCAGTACTTGCGGCTACATTCTTCAGTGTAGCAGAATCGCTTTATGCTCATAATCTTAAAACGGTAAAATTGTGCCATTGTGATTGGTCAAATTATTTAAGGTAGCTTAACGAAGGCGATTTCTTAAGAAGGTTGACAGAAGAGTTGGATGCTTGCAAGTTGTGAAAAATTACTTTAGGAATGCTATTAACAATGTTCTTGGTACAGAAATTCCAGAATTGGAATAAGGTTTTATGTGACGCAGAATTCACCCCGACTTCTATTCTACAGTCATTACTATTTTATTCACGATTTTGTGGTGCTTATATTGTAAAATACTGTAAAAGCTCAAGTTAATATCCATGGAGAACGAGTTTAATAGGATTGTTCAAATACCATGAAACGTAAGTACTTCAATTCTTCCATTTGCCGGAGGTTAACTGATAAAATATAAGCTTATTCAATTGCTTCAATTCATGTTAAGGCATACTGCTTCATTTGGATACTTTGGCTCTATTTAAACAAGAAAAGGGCAAATACGGGTTTTCAATATGTCCGTGCAATTCTTAATGAATGTTATTTTATTTAAATCAATAAATTTCGTGAATAAGGAGCCTTGATTATACGCTTATTCAGAATTCCTTAGTTGTTATTCAAATAGAATTTCAATTTTTTGTCTAAACAAAAAGCAGATAATTATTCAACATAAAAAAGCAAAATTGAATTCCAAAGTAACCATGCAAGTTAAATTCAAAGAAGACAATTATGTTGCATTAAAGCACTTTCTACAAAACTAACCGGACAAAAGAAAGAAAGAAAGGCGACTGATCAAACAACTCTTAAGAATAAATGGAGACATTGCTATGGTAGCACAATGACAAGTTAATTGAAAAAATTGAAGTAGACCACCGAATTGTCTATGGTTAGGGTTAGAATCAAACTCATATTAATAATGCGTGGTTTTTATCTCGACCATACAAAGTCATTATGCTTTGCACTATCAAATGCCTACGTATATGCCTCGTTACATTCAATATTTCTGTATTCGTATGTTTTAAATTTGTCGGATATTTTGTCTACCTAGATAACCGGAAGCATAATGTGTGGTTATGGAACATACCTTCTGGTCAGATCAAAAGAATTCGGATTGACTGGCAACGAAATTGAAATTCCAATATCTATAACTATCTTTGGACTCTTCGTATTAACCGTTGGCATCATTGGCTGCTTTAGCGCTATTAAACCAGGCCGTGGATTACTTCTAACTGTAAGTAGATTTAAATTAATTTTTGTAGTTTGCTATTTTTGTTGGCATTACCATAATAGCCCAAGTATTTGGAGCCGTTCTATCGATAGCGTTAAAGGATAAAGTGGGTTTGAAGTTAGTTTCATCAACTCTCTCATGCAGGTAAAATTTGTAAACAATTATTTCTCGATTGCCATGCAACAAATCCAGTCGACCCATAATAAACACCAAGTTGAGATTATAATGAAGCTTCAGGCTGCCGTAAGTGAGTTTCAAGTAACGAGAGTCCTTAGTTTAACTGCTGCGGGATAGGTGGACCGACAGATTGGACACAACCAGCTAAGAGTTGTTGTATGCCTGGTGAACAGGCACCATGCAATGATTACCCTCAACAGGTTTATGATCTCCTTCCTTCAACAAATTCATCTTTGGTTCATAGGGCTGTGGTGATTTGCTTTTCGCCTGGGTTGAATATAACATGCTGACTGTCGGAGTCACAGTTCTCATTCTTTCTCTCATTGAAGTTGGTGCAATTGTGGCCGCAACCTGCCTAGTTGAAAGAAGAGTGTATACCTGAATTAGGCGAATTAATTTTCGTCTAAATTTGCCTAGCAATCACCGTCGTTGGTCTTTATTCACACTTATTTATGTCTTAGCTTTAAAATTTTTTGGTTTTATATTGAACATATATATAAGGGTTCCTTTTCAATACTTCAAGTAAATAACCTTTAACAGAAATAAATTTTTTATTTTTCCTTTAATGACTGAACCTTATGATTTTCTCGGGCATTTGTCAATCAATATACGCCCTCACACCAACTCTAACACTTTTAAAATTACTCTAGACAAAGAATAAATTCTTTTCGTGGGGATAAACCGAATATAAATGTTTTTGATACAAAGAAACCTTTAATAATGTAAATAATTTTCAACATTTATCACCAAGCCCTCTCTCTCGAACTGGACAGTTGAAATATTGAGAGGGTTTCAAGATTGTGACAGAAGAAATGGAAATTCCTTCAAATGCGTCACTCCCCCAAGTTGTTGAAATAAAAAATTTTGCAAATGCTCTTCACTGAGTGTACAAAGCTTGCTTTTAGATGTATAAAATTAAACTGGCTAAGCTAAATCGTTCCTCTTAATTTCTTTGTCTTCATGAAAAAGCCAATTCAACTTCAGTGTTACTCTTTTTACTCAATAAATTTGAAACCCTTTTTCTCAAAACTCAGCGATTTGTGTTACTTCTTCGGATTAAGGTTTGATTAAAGTTTAAATAGACAAAACAAACTGATTAATCAATATTCTCATTAGAATATCACAAAATACTCGAATAGAAAGGCTGAGTGAAAGAATGTTGGCTGTCAATATAATAAACGCGTATTAACGCTCGAGTCAAGTGTTATGCCAAAGGAATGATAGTTTTGCATATAGCAAATGCTCTAAGTTTCATCAGTAAAACCGACAGAGCTATCATAAAACCTTAATCCCGATTGATGATTTGGTTCATACTTGTGTCCACATTTTCAATTCGATTTTGCTCAGAGTTTACATCCATCAACGCATTGTCGCAACAAAATGACAATGAACCAAGTTGGGATAGCAAATCACTCAATTCAATCAAGCTGACCACAATCCCTTATGCAAGTTATAAAATTGAATTCATAATTTGATTTCATTATTCGTTTAAAATTAACTTTCGACCCTCACTCCCAATTTCCATTACTCTCTCTTACTACCTTTGGAGGCCTTTCCTCTATTTAGCCATGGGTGTGTCGTGAACGAACTGTTGTTTTTTCACTGAAGCAAAAGGCTTCACTAACCCAATTATCTGTAACTAAATTTATGCATCTGACTGGAGACCCAATGAGAAAGTAAATATCTCCTCGCAACCGAGTTTGGAAATAAAAATATAAAATAAAAATAAAATAGAGTAAAAGTTGACTAGAAAGTGAAAAAGATTCCATAAAGGTACATGGACCCTATAAAAGTTTCAAGTCTCTTCTTCATAAAACACACCCGAAAGGAAATAAATTGATTTCCATGACTAAATCTTTAATTGAATTACACCTTGGAACTGAATCCATTCAAATTGTGGGAGGTGATTCCTGCAAAGCGAACATTAGAGTTTGAAAAATTAGATAATTGATGCTATCAATTTCAAACAGATCTCACGTCTTGACTGATCAAATTGAGTGTCCATCCATTTCCTTACCCATTTTATTTTGACCCTGAAAATTTGACCTCTTTCGTGTTTACTTGCCTCACTGTTGAATGCATTAATGCAGCGTTTACAAATGGATAGTTAACCAGAACGAACATGCCGATTTCTCGACTTCTCTTTCATTTCACTACTCAAAACAAGCGTGATTGTTTTGTCAAAATGCTTAACTAAAATAACCTCTACAATATTTTAGGAAAGAGGTGAAGAATAAACTTTTGGTGACTAGATCAGATTTATTGTGAATACAAACAATTGATTTTTGTTGCAAAGGAAGCAATTTATTCGGATTGTTTTGCCAGAATGAGAGCCGCCACAATGGTTTCGATTTCAACAACACCGGCTCCAATACCAATGCTGTTTGCCTTCAGTTCGTGGACAATCTTTTCTACGCAGCCCTGACAACAAAGAAGACAGAAAATGCAACTATTGAGTAAAGAACCGACGCCAGATTGAGTGCAAATTGCAGAACTTACGGGAAGAGAAGTAGGTACACAGATTTATCCAGGTTCGCAACAATATTTCACAGGATTTGTCCAATCACTTGGTTCATTGGCACCACAACAGTCAAGCTAATGACAGTTAATCAAAATTAAACGAGTTGCCTACCGAATCTTGCAGTCCAATAATTGGGACTGTGAGGCCGGAGTTTGGATTGCTTTCAATCTCAGCAATTGCGTTTGTAAAGAATTCTCTGATGAATGGCTTGAATTTATCCTTATTGACAATTAGGATGACTCCACAGGCAATCTCAGCGATTATAATAAGAACCAAAACAGTGGCGAACTAGATTAAAGACGAGATGGGTAATAATTACAGCAATCGGTCTTACCAGTCGTAGGAGACATTTGCTCTTCTTCCAAGCTCCCAAACATCCAAGAAAACCAGTGACAAATATCAGACAACCAATGACCAAGAATGCCACCACCAAGACCATTATGACACCTGTCATGTTGAACAATTTTGCCTAAACCACGAGGTAGATACCAAATCCTGTCATAATGCCACCCGCCACAAAGACGAGGAGGTTGAACACGAGAAGAAGAATTCTCAAGAGTTTGCCTGTACAGGAAAGTGGCATTGTGTTCAATATTGTGCTTGAATGAAGTTAGCTAAGTGATCCTGTGTGCTCAGAATGTTACTTAAATAGTGGTAATGCACCAATTGCAGAATACTCACATAATTCATTACAACAAACTAAGGCAAAAAGCACAGCCCTAATACCAACTTAATATTTGGCTTAGTGCTCGTCGAATTCGTTCCATTGATTATCACGCCCACACACAAAAAGGTGGGTCCATTCACTCGAGGTTATACTGGCTTTAAAATTTTTCACTTTTGTTCGTATTTATAAAATATGCCATATTTATTGCCGGTGATTAAAATATATTTAAAAATCGAATTACAGTCCGCAGAGTAGGCCATATTAATTTTATGGACGTAACTTCGGAACGCCATTCAAGTAGAAATAAGCAGAGGTAGGACAGATTTAATAAGAATTTGACCTCATGGAAACCCTTCGTTTGTTGGCATATCAATCAGAGCAAAATTGGACCGATTGCACAAAGTTTTAAAATAATCATTTAAGCATTATTACATTTTCTTGAGCATACGCAAAGTTGAATAAAGTTGATGGGGTAGAAGAGTTGATTAAAGAAGGAATAAATGTGTGAAATATGGGGGGAGTAGGACACGAGAGTGAGGGCTGCAAATTTTGTAACTGACACGGTGTTGAATTTTTCGCGCAAAAGTGTAGTTATCACAAAGACGCGAGTAAAAAGCCTCTACTCAATATTCTTCTCTCTAACGATTGAAATTATTCCAGGCAAATACATGAAAGCCAGTACGATTTAGTCATTAAATTGAAATAAAATATAATTAAACTAAGAAAATCAGGGGACTTTTAAGGAATCTTTCCAGTTCAGCACAGATGCAGGACATGTAAATAACTGAAGTTGACGTATCTTGCTGTCGATCAATTATCAGATCTAGAAATCAGACGAAGGAAACACATTAACGAATCTTCCTCCTCACAGCAATTGAATTGCAATATTCTGTTGTACAGTGGTTGGAAGAACATTATTCACCACTTAGAAATCCATCTTAGTTGAAAAATAAAGTATCCCTTTAAGTTATGTTTAGAAATGGATTTTCGTGACATTGTTAATTCAAAAAATTATTTGGATTCCCATTCAAGTGAAAAATCAGAGCAAACTTTTCAATTCCGTTATAATTTAGGGATTTGAGATATTTGAACTGTGATATTCGGGATAGCAATGTGGGAATTTATGAACAAAATCGCTTCAATAGACAGTGCAATTGGCATTGCTGACCTCCTTAGGTCCTCAAGAGTAACAAGTTGGTCCATATAGAAAATAATTCTAAGAAAAGAAGGTTGGTGTTTCTCGTGAGGCTCATTTGAGATTTTGATTGAAATATTGCTGAACAATTTAATTGCTTAAAAGCATTTTTAAAAACAAATCTAAACTATTAGAACACCTCTGGATTAGAAAATGACATTGATTGTGCAATTTGAAGATGACG